TTGTCTGTACTCGGACTTCGGCTGCGATCCTTTCCATCACCTTTACCTTTCCCCTTTCCCTTTTTGTTCTTGTCTTCAGGATGCTTTTTGGGATTGGGTTTCGGCTTCACTGCAGCAGCGTCTTCTGAGGCAATCTGTTCCTGTTGCCCTTTTGGTTTCTTCTTCGGATCAGCTGGTGCAGCTTTCAGTTTTGGAGCAGGTCCGCCTGGTTTGAGATTCTGAAAGATATTGGCCACATTCTTCACTGCCTTCTCCTTTTCCAGGATCATCCTGTCTTCAGTTTGCCGTTCGATGTGCCTTCTGATCATATCACGTAGATGTTTGTATGTCTTCTTGGCGTCATCGTCGTTCATGCTGTTGTAGGCGCTAATGTCGTATGCCATGAGGTTTGAGTTCCTGATCTTTCTCCATAGGAGATCCCGAAGAGTTTCGTCGCTCGGAACGTCAACGGGCTTCATTCCTGCCAGAATCTCGTCCCAAGTGTGGAAGAACAACGATAAGTTCTTATCTCCTTGATATTCCAGTTGGTAGAGGTGCATTGAAGTATATAAGACTTCCACATTCGATGTTGTCTTGAAATTCATAAGGATCAGGGCTAGGACCTCTCTTCCCTTTATTAGGCTTGATGTCCTCCCTTTTGCATTGATCCTCGTCCTCAACTTCATAGCTACACCTGAACCATCATCTTTCGCATCCATGACGACCTTGGTAAGGGCTAGGCCGAGTTTGGCATCGATTGAATGGAATCTTTGGTCTCCTGAGTCGACAAATTTGTCCGGGTCAGGATCGTCCATGGCTTCTTTGATCCAGTCGATCCAGGGCTCTTGATCTGAATCATTGGCCGCAATGATGATCGATTGAATGAGATTTGCCTTCCATAGTCCAAGATCATTGATCCTGGGCCATGACGGAACGTTTATCTTTGATTCTTCCTTCCTCGATACTTTCATGACTGTAGAGGTTGCTGGTACAAGATGAGATGAAGAGGATGCTTCTGCTTCTAAAATCTTGTCCCTCAATGATTTGTTCGCCTCGGATAGCTCAATTGATTTCTCCCTTTCCTCGGCGTACTCATTGTGGGCTTCGGCATACCATTCATACATCTCATCTCGACTCTCTGTCATTTCATTGTACCCGTCCTTGTAGTGCATCGCCTCCTCTTTTGCGTTCCGAATCTCATCTTCCTCGGACGCATGGGTTGGTAACCCGCGGTCTCTGGAACTAGGACGCTTGCTGTACCGAGAGACTATGGGTGCCATTCGTGCTTCTGCTTTTAACTTCGCATTTTCCATAATGACATTCTTTGTCTCCTTCTGGCTTTCCAATAGAGCATTCTCCAGTTCTTTGATCTTCTGTTGAGTTTCGGCACCATCATCGCCGAACATAGGGGCTCTCATCATATTCTCTCTTTTCAGCTGTGCGTTGGCTTCGGATAGAGCGAGGTTGACTTCTTTCAACTGTTGTCGTTCACGGATGGAACCTTCTAGGACTTCATTGTTGAATATTTCCCCTTTTGCGATAACCTCCTTTGCGACGTTTGCTTCGTATTCATGGTGTCTCGCCTTCATGTCTGCCACTTCTCTAGCAGAGACTTCAGTCTGGCATACAAACATCTCCATCCTCATGCCCACTTCCATCTCTTCTATCTCCGCTCTCGCGTTGAGTTCAGCTCCACGTGCCATAGCTAGTTGACCTCGTAGATGATCAATAACCATAGCTTCCTGATTGCTTTGATCCTGAGATGAGTGAACACTATGTTGAAGACGTCTTTCCCTGACCTCACTGTTCCATTGTTCTTCTCTCTGGTGTTGGATCACCTCGTGCATATTGACATTCTCGTCCTGTAGCGCAATCATTCTAGCTTGTATCTGGTCAGCTATTCCGACGAAGGCTGTGTTCTCATCCTGAATGGCTTTTGATCTTCTATTGATCGCCAATGAAGACTCATTCTGTTCTTGGATGTGTCCAATTGCCGTCTGAAGCTCTTGGGACATTCTGTCCTTCGTCGCTTTCACAGATTCAAGCTCTGAATGTTCTTGATGAGTTTCTTGTGCAAGCTCTTGATATCTCATGTAGATATGCTCAGCTGTCGATTCCGCCAAGCGTAGCTTGCGTTCGAGCTCTTCAATTCTTATTGTTGCTCCTTCATCTTCCTGTGTCATCTCCTGTAGATGTTCCTGCATCTTCCTGTTGTAGTCAGACATTTGCCTGAACTCCACTTCAGCCTCGTGGTGTAGTCGTGAGTACCCGGCTTGGATGCATTCATATTCTTCATGAAGAAAGTTGTATGCGTTTCTCGCCGATCTCAATTCTTCACCCAGCTGAACCTCTCTTCTTTGCTCTTTTGTTCCTCTATCATCGTCACGTCTCTTCTCTATACTCCTTCTTGGGGACCTCGCAGTAGACGTTATAGGCGATGTAGATCTTGTTGTAGCTCTCATCGATCTTCTTGGTCCTACGGGTGCAAGATCGGTCAGATTCCGAGCCGGTGGCACGGATCTTTCCGAGATTTGTGATCCAGTAGGCATAGTGATAACGTCAGCATTTGCCGATGAATCAGTACCCATTGTAGAGTCTGGTGACGAAATGGTGTTGGGACCACCAGGAGCGGCGAATGAATAGGGTTCGCTTCCATTTCCTCCTGAGCTTGACATTGCAGGTTTCTGTAATGACTAGTCTTGTTCTTGGTCTCGTGTAGCTCGTACGGCTGTGAAGAGCGCGTACGGCTGATAACCTGCGAGTGGATCTTAATCAGCGAAGTTTGAAGCTATCACTGACGGTCCATGAGCGGCGTAGCGTCGGAACGGAAACCGCACCTTTTCTAGTCGCTTGATCCTTGAGCCAAAGTACATATGGTATATACATATATGTACAAGTTGCACTGTACGTGTCGCTGCACTTCCATTCGCAAAACAAGAGCTTTGTACTTGACACTTTGTGTGATTTTTCTCTTCAGTGAATTTTGCACTTGAATCGTGTTGGACTTTTGCGTTGCAGCCGAGTTTGATGTGTTCAAAAGGTATACTGTTCTGCAAGATCTTGGACAGGTAGTGCCAGAGCAATGGCTGAATCCATGGAAGATATCCCCGCATCTCAGCCAGAAGCACCAACACCTGGTGGTGGAAGCGGCCCTGGGACACCAATGAGAAGGCCTGCAGCAAGCAAAGCAAAGGTGAAGGTGAAGAAGGCCCCAAAAGCACCAAGAGTAAAGACCGTGTGCAAGAAGCCAGCTACCAATGAGAATCCCAAGCCAAACAAGAAGGAGGAGGAGGCGAACACAAAAGCAGCAGCACAAGCAGAAGCGAAACACAAGCAGAAGCGAAAACAACGGCCAAAGCCGAAGCAGAAGCGACAGTCGCTGCCCGGTCACGAACCGTCTGTCACATACGACGAGTGCTCCCAGACTCTTGGACTGACCCCATGCTGCACCAGGTTCGCAACGGTGTCCACCGAGCCGAAGGAACATCTTTTGCTGGCCTAGTATGACGTGCGACGCCGCGTCGGCTGACAATGGGAAGCTGCGGACCATGAGCACCGCTCCATTGTTCTGCGACACGTTTTGGGGTCAGCAATGGCGTCGCCCAGTCCTTGCTGCCCAGTCCTTGGTACTTGATGGTTCGAACTGCCTCTCCATGTTTCGCACGAAGACGCCAGCTGTGTCGTGTCCGTCGACGGAGCGGAGTCGACCGGCAGCGCCCCAGGCCGGGCGCCGTTCAGACCAAACATCGAAACAAATGGCCTTTCTGGTGAGCGGATCGATTTCGCCTGGATCGATTTCGCCTGGAATGAAAAAAACAAACGAATGGTTGATATTCTATGTTGTTTGCCTGGTCACATGGTCACATGGTCATGAAAAATTGTGGCTGACAGTTATACTGTCAGAGTGAAACAAACTGGTCCTAGTCGAAAGACACCCACCTGAGATGAAACCTTTGGTCCCATAGAGGGACCTCCATGTGATCTGTTTCTTGGGGAGCCCTCTAGTTATGTGGACCCATCTAAAAAATATGGTTCTTCTTGAAATCTGTTGATGTGCTTCTCCCTATCGAAGAATACCTATACACCTGAAAAGAGACCCACACGGAACCTGATGGCATGGCATGGACCAGAGGTGACCAGACTGGAAGACTATAGCTTCCTCCACATTCACCGGTTTTCAGGTTCCACGATCCTTTTCCAAACAGGTCACTCGATCCCTCTTGGACGCCACCTGGGAGGCGCCTGGGAGTCGTCCTCCCGCCCCCTGCGCCCCCGTGCTTCGTGTCGGTCCTGGCAATGACCATGAAGGTGACCTCAAGGAGCTCCGGAAGAGGGTTCCGAGCTTCCGAGCCGCGAAGGTGGCGCTGGGGACCAGATCGAGCCATCTTGCTTTGGACTCTGAGATGAATCCATGTTCGTTCCGGAAGGGACCGCATGGGGTGCCACAGAGCGGAGAAACGTTCGGCTTGAAGAGGTGCCCCCCACATGAAGAGGTTGATCAATCCAAATGAGAGGAAACTGCAAAAACTAGACATTACACAGTGTTTACACAGTTGATTAATCATACACTGCTGCTTTGGTGACCGACGAAAACTGCTGTACTCAAGACACTCTATATGGTTTTGGACACCCGGAATCACCTCTAAGAGGCTATTTATAGACACCTCTTGGAAGGTCCTGGTGTGGAAGGTCCTAGTAGTTGCAAACATCTTGTGGAACTTGAACGTTTCAGCATCACCAATATATGCACCATTACTGGTATGTGGTGTCACCTCACTTGAAAAATATGAGTCAGCGGATTGAATCATCCCAAGTAAAGGTTGAACGTAGACATATATCCGAAACCTATAGATGATGCAAGAAGCTACCGGTAGCTCCTGGCATTACCTAGATTATGCACCCAGTTAACTCGTTTGCAATCGACTTTCCGATCCTCCAGTGGCCTAAATACCACATTTGCTTGGACTGCTTCGGGCTTAAAACCAATCATCTTCTTCGGGTTTGGGGATTCACGGATTCAGTGCCAGTTCAATCACACCTTGGTAGGGTAGCATAGCTGGAAATCACATGCTTCTCTTCTGCTTCCCGCTTCCCCCACTGAAAACACCCTGACCGAACCAATCCAAAAGCTTTTTGGAGCTTAAAAAACCCTCGGCTTATCGGTGGGGACTCTCGGTGGGGACTCTCGGTGGGCTACCACGCTTGAACGTACTTGTAGCTGCAATTCGCCATGATCTCCAAGAATGGCCTCAATCGATTGAGGCGTGTGAGCTTTGTCCACTGGCATTACTACTAGGAACGAACTAGTAACAATTGCATCGCTTCTAGTAAGAAGCTACTAGTAGTTCCTGGCATTTCTAGAAGCTACCAGCGCTTTAGGTGCCATGCCTTTGGCGCCGGCACATGCTGTGGTGGGCTTTTCCCTATTCGAAATTGCGGACCAATGGACTATACAACTCCCCAAAGAACCTAACAGAGTTAACAGAGTTGTGGGTTCAACCGCTTGGAAGAATGATGTCTCTCTGTGTGTGTTAACTTTTTTTGGGGGCCATGACATCAGTTCGTGTATGGCACACTTTGTTCCAACAAACGACGTTTTGAATTCCGTCCCCCCAAAGCCCTTGCCTTTAAACAAAGGCATCTGACAGGCCACCTCCGTTACATTACACTTGGACAGAAGACCTGATGTTTGCTGATTGTGGGACCTGTGACTTCGCACACTATACAATACAGGGAGCAAGGACGCTGCTAGGTGGAGGCCATCGCAAGTTGCTTGGAGGCCAAATACATCGTAGTAACTAAGAAGCTACGCACGGAGCAAGGACGCTACTATTAGCTCCTATAGGCATTATACATTGGGGTGGTTTTGGGGTTCAATGGGAGCGTCTGGCCTTACTACTAAGTACAATTCGATCTCTGATCGTGTTGGGCGGGACCGATCCGATCGAAGCGCGCTGCGCCCAAGACACACGGCGCTGCCCACCACGTAGAAACCCATCTTCGCCACTCCCACCTCGGTCTGCGGGCACTCGGAACAACGGGCGACGTGAGCCAGTGGAGCGGACTCGTGGGGGGTTTTAGGGGGTCACGAGTCAAGTCATTTCAGAACAGTCGATGTCAGCTGGCCTGGACTGTCTGGGTGTCCTGTCGGGGAGATTTGTGGATAGGGGCCGGTAGTGGGCTGGGTAGTCCAGCCAGGACACCCCGGTCCAGGATGGTCCTGCATAGGCAGTTTGGTTTCAGTATAAGGTCACCAAAGCTGACAAAGAACAGGCCTTTTGACCATACACCATGAACTCTCATTTTTCTCTAGTTTTCCAAAGGACCCTCCCCCTATTGTGTGCTCCAGTGTGTGTTGTGTGCTGCAGGCTGCATCACTGGGAACACCTTTTGTCTGGAGCATCTCTCAGCCTTACCTGCAAGGCAATGCGAACAATCCAGCGAGCACAGCAACGGTTCAGCCCGAAGCTTCCCCAGTCACTTCATCTCACTTCACAACTCTTGGGGGTTTGGTCCGAAGGATGTCTGATGAAATACCCATGACACACGCGACACACGCAGAAAATGGGCAACCTATAAGGTGGGGGAGGTTGCGGAAACACCACATGCTGCATGGACATGAGATGACCAGACTAAACCTCCCTGGAAGAAAGAACCCGACATATAGGTCTACATCTTCGTTTGACTTCTTGTGGTTGGTTCATCTTCTTCCTTGGACGTCATGGTCTGCCGACATGGTCTGCAGTCCTCCGGTCCCCAACACACACGTCCCGCCTCTAAAAAGAGAAGCACCAAAGCGAAGGATGCCTCGGAGCCGGGAGGACGCCGGAGGACGCCGTCGGGTCGGACCGTGCGATCGTCGGACCGTGCGTCGGGTCGTGCGGGTCCAGACGGATGGAAGAAGCGACCATGGTTTTCCCAGTACCAAGGACGGAAGGACGCACCGTTTCCAAGGACGCGCAGTTGAGTCGAGGGCGTCGTGTTGGAAGGACGCCCCTGCGTCCTTTGATCAAGGAAGGCCGTAGGTGGCTGAACACAGATGGGGCCGCCTTGTCACTTCTGCTTTCCACTTCCTCCTTGTCACTTCTCACACAGTGAGACGACGAGTCGATGATGGGCCATCGTCTGTGCACACAGAGGGCCCTCCGTCGATGTTTTGGCTCTCAAACAGGTTGGTTGTTTCATTTTGGATCTCAAAGACCCCAAAAAGCGCTCTGAACCACCACCGAATGAGTCGAACCCAGCATGGGGGGAACGTCCCATGAAGCCGCTACCTATTCCGCCCAGCACCGGAACATGCTGGAACCCGCTCCCATCCGAGCGTCAACAAGTTACAAACAGGAGTGGATGCTGAACCCCCCCAAATCCAGCAAAATCCGACGCTTCCTCACCGACGCTATACCTATCACCTATCAACAAATACCACCAAAACACAACAAAAACATATACAAAACATGAATCAACAAGGTACCAACATACAAACAACAAAGAATCAACAAGGTACCAACATATGTACCAACGGTACCAAAAACAACTACTTGGAATGAACGGTCTTCACATACCAAACAACTCACAACCAATCCGCGTTTGTTTGTGCGGTCCCGGTCCCCACTGTGGAAGGCAAGACCTCCGGCCGGAAGTCGTGAAGGATCCCACGCTGCCTCGGTCAGTGGTGGGTGGTGGTCTTGTGTCTTGGGGCAACACTGGTCGACCTGTGTCTTTTTTCTTTTTCTTCGGCGGTCTCTCTCTCTCTCTCTTCACGCGGTCCGGTCTTAGACCTTCCTCGGTCTTAGCCTTGAATGAAAAAGGTCTCTCTCTCTCCCCCAGCAATTGGTTTTGTTTTTTTTTGCGGTGGAGCAAAGATAACAAACATGTACCTAAACGCCTCATTAGGAGATTCCAAGGAATGTTGCTGTTGCTTTCATCACAGGAATAGCACTACCATTTGAGATGCACAAGGGCATGGGTGTAAGATGAACAACTTATACAGGTTTTATTGTGCCTGAGTGTCTTTTGCATTCTTTTTCTTCGAGCAGCAACATCCAAGCAATGCCCACACTTATGAGACTGTTGAAGAATCACATTTTGTATCACCCCCTTCTTCGACTCATCGTGAAATCTGAAGTCACCTGGTCTCAAGATCTTTTATCATTGTTTGCTAGAAATAACATGGCTGGTCTCAGGAATGTCTCCCATTCCTTCCCGGCAACACATCTCTATTGTCCTCCTCCTGGTTCAAGCTACACAGAGCTCCGACCGACTCTCGTCACGTTTCGTCTTCCTTCTCCACTGCCCGACCGCTCCGACCGCTCCGCCACTGCCCGAACCCTCCAACCGCCGATCGCCGACCGCTTTCTTTTCGCAGACCGCTGCGGCTCTTCGGCGTCAGGCTCCTCTGCGTCAGGCGAGGCGTCGTGAAGCCGTCGCGAGACGTCACGGTTGGCGCCGGTGGATCGACTGGATGAGATGTTGTAGCGGTGTTCTATCAGTACTTTCTCCATGGATTGACGTATCTATTTATCGAATGCAAGAAGAAGTGGATTCATCAATGGATATGAGGTGTGTCAAGAGACAAAACATGATCCAAAGGTTGACTCACCTGATAACACTTCATAGCATGCTTAATAGTCAAAACATCGACCTATCCACCTACCCAGCCCATCGAATCTCGTCAAACCCTTCTGCTCGGACCATGCTTAGTAGGCGAGGTAGTCGTCGATGACACCCAACCACACAGCGGAAGTGGCCCACTGGTAAATGGCCAAGAGTCAAGTCAAGTGAGTGCTTCATAGGGTAAACCATGCCACTATTAGGGTAAACCATATAGGGTCTCCACCCTTTTCACTGGTTGTACCCTTTTGGATACCACGTGGCCTCCCCAGATTTGCGACCTCCCACAAACAAACAGAAAACATATGAAAATACGGATCTTCCGATTCCAATGAAACTGACAGTTTCAAAAGGAGTATTCTTTCTCAACCCCCCCTCCGAGCTTGATGGTATTTCTTTCATATGGCACATCAACTGAACTGGCTTCTGCTGATGAGTGCGTCCAAGCACCTCTCTTTGGAGCAGCTCCTTCAAATGCCTGACAGCGACTGGTCGCGACTTGACTTTCCAGGGCACCGTGGACCACACGTCTTAGGATTTTGCTCGGAGCAAACAGGTGGTGCTTCAGAGCGTTTGGTGCTTGCTAGGGGCAACATATTGCTGTAACTTATCCAACAAACATCTATAACCAGGATACATAGCTATACATCTAACCAGGATACACAGCTTGAACATGCTTGAACCACATCCCGGCCGATGGATGTAGATCTGTCGTCTCTATATGAAGTGTTTCAAGCTCTCAAGACACCTAAACCATCCCCCTTCACCGAGGACCACCCTTTGAGACAAACGCTGACTTCCTGCTTGGTGTGGCTCAAAAATACCCAAAGCTCTGCTTTCATGGTGGTTGATGACTTGCTTCGCCCTGCTGCTTCGCCCCCTTGTTTGGGTAACATCTCACAAGACATTGACCAGTCTACCATAAGCAAAGTGCTTGGTTGACAAGTCTTTCGCATCGCCGCAGTCGCAGGCGACGAATGACAAGGAAATCGCAGGCGGCTGACGGAGTCCTGCAGAAGTGCACCGTGCACCTAACGCACCTCAAGTCAGGAGTCCTGTAGGACAACCAACGGGGGCGAAAAGTACAGAACTCGATCCTGATCCCAAAAAGAACCACTGCATTCACCAGGCAAGAGGGATTCACAGGCCTATTCAGTTGTCATTCGTATCTTTCCGACACCGAGCGACCATGAACCACCACGTGAAACCACTGCGTGCACCACCCCTTGGCGGCGGGAACGTCACAGAACTCGCGGCAGTGTCGGGCGCCTCACCATGGGATGATGTGCTCCTGCCAAGGGTTCCGCCTCATCGAGCGCCTGCTGACACCAGGCGCGCACCAAACGACCTGGACGGGCCGGCCGGGACGGGCGGGTGTGGAATGGCATGGGCCCGCGATTTTCCGCTTAGCAAAACACAGGGCAACCCTCCACTAGCAAGTTGCTTGGAGGGAAGGTTGTTCTCCAGCGCCAGGTTGCCCGAGGCGATGGGTGATGGGAGAAACGTGGCGACGGCCACCGTTGTGCAAAGCCAACGACTCACACCGCAAGGACTCCAAGACCCTGATCCGAGGCTGGAGCATGCCGAGGCAGGTCCAGGGGTTTGGGGACCCGCATCAATGGTATCAACATGTATCACCCAGGACCTTCAAAGTGACCGTTCAGAATGATCTCACAACCCAACCACTTAGACCCTTTCTAGAGGTCACAAACAGAGACTCCAAAGAGGTCAATTGACAGTCCTGGAACATGTATTGTATCAACATGTGGTGAACAGCTAGTGATGCCCCCATGATCCTCCCATCTGGTCGACTGGTCAGTGGAGGTTTACCTCGCCATCTTCTGGACGAACAGAAACGACGCAGAAAGTCCCCCCCTCACCAGCACCCCATCTGGCAGTGAGTCTCGTCGAGCCCCGTGGACCTCAAGCGACTCCCTCTGCAGAAATCACCCGAAATCGTGCAGAGCATCTGACGATTCCGTAAGTGAGACCAACTGTCCATACACCATCTGTACTATAGATCCTGATAGCTCTGAAGACTTCCTGTATAACTGATAACTCTGAAGACTTCTGTTTTCCACACACACTTGTTGCTTTGAACACTTCCGGAATATGGCTCCTGCATACGGCAAAACAAGTTCACCCGATGTTCACCCCCTAAACTTCTCAGTATCTTCACCTCTGCGAATTGACCGTGTTCACGGATCATGGATGACAAAGCATCTCGTTTGGTTGACGGATTGAAGATGCTCAGACCAAAGGAAGATCCCAAAGGAACATCCCAAAAGGTGCTCAGACTGTCCCGTCGTTTTCCTAAGGAACTTCCCAAAGGCCACGGTCTATGGCCACTGCAGGCATCGCCACGCTTCACCTCTGCCCACAAAGGTTCTGCCTCACTCTGACTACCTGAGCACGTGCGTCAATACTTCGTTGAAGGCCTTCTCTCTTAACCATCTAACCACATTGGGTTGAACTATATACACCCAGCTGTGCCACCTGCTCCAACACCTGCTCCACCAACCTCCCCACGCACTTCCATCGCACTGGATCTCCGACCTGCTTGGGCCGCCCGCGCCGTGCTCGACCTCGCCGCTTCCGCGGGGAGGCGCTGCAGCGCCTCGGCGCGCAGCAGCAGCGCCTCGGCGTGCAGCAGCGAGGTGCTCTCTCCGCGGAGGCAGGTGACCTCGGTGGAGGGGGGGATGAAAGGCGTGCTGTGTGGCGATGTGTGGTGTGTGCATGTGGATGTTCGTGGGGTGACTATAGAAAGTGGGCATGCATGGAGTAGAACAGAATCGCTGTAGGATGAGGATCAGGATGATGATTCATATAGATTGCATTTTAGCTAGGAGAGGGGACGAAAGGTTGCACCGGAAAGCGGATCAAGAAGATCTGAGGGACGAGGATCGTCATGATCAACAGGACCCACAGGGACACATAATGATAAACTTCCACAGACTGAGCAGGCAAAAGTCAAGGCCCTTGTCACTGCACGTACTATACAACTGACGATTGATGGATTTTCATCAGAATGTACAAGCTTTCTTGCCACTACCTGTCAGAATCCATAAGAGTTCTGCAGTGCATTGAACAGTCGAGTCCATAACAGAACTAGGAAGTCTACCCTCTGTGGTGTGTGACCTTTTGCAAAATCACAAAGTACAGGCCACAAGATATACCATAGATCATAGCACCTTCATGTCGGGGTCACCTGGCTGGTTTCGCCCCAGCCCACTACGATCAGGGACCTCCCTGTCCAGGACACCCCCTTTTTCAGGTCCAAGTAGCTGTGCTTTTCTCAAGGATCCCTTTGGTTTTTCTTCATTTCCCGGCCCCTTCCTCGGCTCTAACAACCCATCCCACGACCCAGCCCACTACGATCTCAAACGTGTGTGGTGTTCGGAACAACCCCCAAACCAGCGAATCGCTGTTGTGACTTGGTGGTCCTAATGACTCAACTACACACCGAATATTGATCAGTTATTTTGACACTTTTCTTCACCAACACCGCTGTTGGTGCAGTACTCAAATGGCTGTGGGTACCAACCTGGCAGGTGACCAAACACACGCGGTCGACCGAAAGTCCTTTCTTGCTCATCTCGTCCTTTCTTCAGAAAGGCCTTGCCATGGGTGACTTCCCCTTCCCAAACACTCCATGTATAGAAAATTTACCTACATTGACCCCAGGTCAACCACCCCATTGTATCTAAATATGCCAGTCCCATTTGTCGTGTCTAGGCCACAAACTTCGCCAACTGCCTCGCCGCCGCCGCCGCGCGCAATGGCGGCACCGCCGTCGACTGGGCGCAGGCGCGCGCGGCCCAGGCTTTGATCTGAGCGGTCGGGGAGATCTTGGGATGCTTGAAGAGGGGAGGTGGGCCATCGATCCTACAACTGGACACGAGTTTTTCAGCCATCTCACAGGTCAAATGGTTCTGGAGGGCCTCTCCCAGTGTTTCCCAGGCTAGTCAGCCCCTAAGGCCAGGCTGATCGGGTCAGCACCCTGGTCGTTGTCACACCCGAACGAGTGCATAGGGCGGGATGGATGTGTCGGATGATGTCCAATCGTCCTAGGACGTGCCTGGGGCTGCCCCAGCTTTCACACACAACATGGGCAATCCAGGAACCCCACACACACACACACACACAAAGCAACTAGGTAGAGATGCCCCTGCGATGAACAAACAACCATCCACTCTTCACTTCCACAACCCAAATCTATCCACTCTCATGGTCATTGGCCGATCTTGGCCGTGCCCGTACCAAGAAGAGTCTTTCCTTTTGCACTGGCTCCACCCCGATTCTGTGTCGGGATCTATCTCATCCACGCTGGCGCCAAGTACCAGCAGGCGCTGCTGCCTCCGAGGCACCCAGTGTTGACCCAAGATGTTCGCGTGGCCGCCGCCCGTGATGTTCGCGTGGCCTGTCCGTTAGAACCATGCGGAACATCACGCGGAACCGGCACGTGCGCAGCGTCGAGAGGGCGGAGATCTTCATTGGATTTTTTTCCGCAGAATCCGCTGAGAAGTATCTTCAAACTCGTTCATACAAACTCCTGATGGCCCCATGGTTGTGACTATCATGTCAAGCCATTTGGGAAGCTCCCCCGGCTCAAACACACATGCTATACTCAAGGGAAATCTTCAGAGGTCAACCTATGAAGCTGTCGCGGCATCATTCCATCAGTCCCAATGTCTGTTGTCCTTTATCTACGCCTCCAAATTATAATTTGAGAAGACATGAGAAGATAGGGTTCAAATTTAGTCAACACAGCCAGTGCCAACGACACACTCAGACACACTCACTTAAGATATGTGTGGATCACCTCAAAAGGCTAAGTGGTGAATGAAACAATGTATTGATTGGGGTGCATCGTCAGGACATTGGGGTGCATCGTCAGGACGTTTATATGATGTTTTGCAATAAACTAAGAACATTCAGGACCCTCCTTGATGGTGACTGAAAGAGTTCATCTTCATGAACACCCGCCACAAGCTAGGTGGTGCCCTGATTCCACCTTGTGTAGGCGTGACACCCAGCACAATGCCCTCTGGCCCCTCCGACCTCGCCGCAAACCGCGCCGCGTCACCGCGCCTGATGCCTGGCAGAGCTTCCGGTAGAGCTCCAGTGCTCGGACGCCCGCGGCGGTTTCATCGCTCAGGCGGTCCAATTGCGAAAGCTCCTGCAGGAAGCACCGAGGATCCCCGCGGATTCCAGCAGCGCAGCGGTTGGGTGGTCAATGGTTGTGACCCCAAAGTGGATGCAGGAGGTCATGTAGAAGGTCAATAAAAAGCACAGTGCGCTGTTGCTATAGAATGGAGGATGGCTATGTTGTGAACCCAAGGAACACCTCAGAAGGGGTGTGAAGAACCAAAGCCACACTGCCATCCTGGAATGATTGAAGCTCCGTTCTCCTTTCAAATGAGGACCATCGGAGGAAAATCAATTGTTTGGAAGCTGTAAATGGGAGACCAACTATAACAGTTAAGTTAAATGGGGAGCACATAGTGTTCAAATGGTTGGTTAATGGTAGTTGGTTGAACATCCGTTAAATGGGCGTGTATGAAAATAGGGAGACCTCCAGTTTGACCCCCTGGAAGTTCCAACACGGTACCAGTTTACCCAGCTGTCCGGGTGGGGACACACACTGGGTGTCCGATAGTTGAGAAAACACACACCCAACTCGTGAAGCCTCAGGCACGTCCAGCCAGCCGGGCCAGTTCCCATCATCTGAAACCACATGGCCAAAGCAGCTCTCAGATTGCGACCTCCGAAACCCACCTCCGCCCATTAAGCGCGAACCGGAGCCCGCCCGTCCGGTGCTCCGGGGTCGACCGGTTTCGCTCGTCCGCGACGGGTGGCGACTCAGGTGGTTCCGAGAGTCTCAGAGGCCGTCAAACAGAGCCAGGCTGCTTGATGCCAGTCGTCTTCTACCTGGCGAAGCTGGCATCATCTCTGAGCTGGATGAGTTAGTTGTGCTGCAAGAAATCTGATTCACTTGGTGAACTGTAAGTGACCTTGCATGTAGACCATTTGAAGTGCCTCCTTTCAAGATCCCTTGAGGGTTGATTGTTGATGAGTAGTTGTCCTATACTCTGTTGGTCATTGGAGATTCAATGTTATGGTGATTGTCTCTGACTCCCTCGGTTTCTCTGGAAAATAGCGGCTAACACAGGCTAACCTTTTTCCACTTGCTTGGATTTTTTGTGGGGAAAACACAACAAGTACCCAGAAAAGCTTAAAGGTTATCCACTGATGGAACCCCTTCTCTCCCTCAAGCTTCGAATGTTTCTTTGACGACCTCGATCCTCGATCTACTCGACAGGTCTTCCATTGGCTGCAGACTTTGGGACGTCCATCGCTCGAAACAGATCTTCGACGAACAACAAGGACGACGTAGCTCGCGAAAGTGCTCGCGAACGCTCGGCTGTGTACGAACAAACAAGCGACCAACCAACCACCGTTGGCTGGGGTGTGAAACGCTCAAATCGGAGACCGACCTTCAATGGTTCCGACCCTCAGGGTTCAGTTCGGGAAGTAATCCAGTCTACCCAGCCAGGGGCGATCGAAGACTTGGAAGATCTCTTCAAAGGACATTCTTTCAAGAAAAATAACCTTGGGATGATCCAACTATGGCTTAGCAACCTCAGAACCATTCTCTAAAGTAGTTTAAATAGCACCGGTGCCGTGTTGTTCGACACGCTCGACTGGCTCACCTCCTCGAAGGAGCGCGCTCCTTCGCCGGCGGCCAAGCCGCAGGCAGTGCAGTTGGTCCAGCGCCCATCGGGATGCGGGAAGTGGCAACCAGATCCTGAGGCACCAATGAAGACACTGACACGACCTGTCTGTGACTGGTTTCTGGATGCCCAACCATTCAAAACCCCTGACAACTAGAAACCGCCTGGTATGTATATGCAAATCTGGCAGTCCCATGGAGTGTCTGGGCAATGAAGACTTCCAGTGGAGACTTCACACGGAAGGATTGTCCACCTTTTTGAGGAGCACATGATTGAACGAAGAACATGAACAACACCCAGCTTCTTCAAGGTGATCTTTTAAGGGTTCGTAAGTGACCCTTGGGAGGCTTAAGTGACCTCAAATTAGGATATCAAAAGGTCACTTTGAAGAACCAGGACCTTGTCTTTTTAAGAATTCCTACGATTTGTTTTCTAGACATAGCGGCATAGCAATGGAATTTTCTCCACATCGAAGAATTATAATCTGAAGACTGAAGATGAACACCATTCTTTTCCGAAATGGACTACGCGCCGGCATGGTGGTGGACTTCAACACCGTGCACACGCTGAGGTCATCTACCTTCAGCTAGGAGGTCCGGAAACCAGCACCCTGCAACAGGTCTCCTCAAAAGTGGCTCTTGGAGACTCAAAAGTGGCGGGTGATGGCGGGTGGTGACTGTGAAGTCGGGTGCTGGTATAGTTGGTGAACATGGACATAGAGAGAGCTCCTTCCCAACGGCTGAGGATGTTTGAGCATTGACTCAGTAAGTAGTCCGTCTGGATGTGTCACAAAACACACACGTCAGGTCTGAGTCCGAAACAGGTTTCCATACCCCGCACGTCCACAGTCGTAGACCATGTGGACTCGGAACAAAACACATGTCTGACCATAAACTTGAAGATGTCCCAAGCTACTCCCATCTGAGAACATGTCCTTTCCTTCCACCTATAGCTACTCTAAGACTGGACGACATGGATGCAAGCAGGACATCCAAAAGCCTCCTTTCTGGGCCTCCAAGAATTCATAATCCGTTTCCGAACGCGCTCCGAGGCCGTCCCCGCGCCCTCCCCGGCCAGGGCTCCGCAGCGCGCGCAGCGCATGCCGCGGGCGTCGTCGGGCGCGGCGCAGCGCGTGCAGGCGCAGGTGAAGCCCCAGGGCCTCGACCGCGGTTTGGACTGGGTTGGTGGGTTTTCGGGGTTGGACACGGTTTTCGGGTTGGTGTCTGTGAAGATGGAGAGAAGGAAGAGAGAAGTCTGTGACATTTGGAAGAAATCCATTCGATGATTGGAGGGTGGCCGCCCCACCAAGCACCAGTTGGAAGACTGGGAGGCTTGACAAGGTTGCAGAGTTGGAGACCAAATGGTGGACGTTGCTTCTCGTTGATGGTTGTGTGACTGGTTGTGTGTCTTTCTATTTTGGAGAGACCCGAGCAAAGAATGGGGTGTTGTCTCTGTCTCCACCATGGAGGTCCAATTAGGGGATATGTCTCCAGATTTCAACACCCACCCAAACTTGAAGAGACTGTTCACCGCAGTGATGCAGGCCACCTCTTCTTCTAGCGAACAGCAACGACTCTTGGGGGACTCTTTTGGGTGACCATTGACCCAGCCTTGCAGTGGTTTTTGACCCAGGTTTTGCTCGGACTTCCTTTACCCTAGAAGTCCAGTTGGACTATATGTTGACCGACTGAAGTAGTTCGGAAGTTCCTGAACTCAGGTCACCCAGTCAGACCCTTCTTTTTATAGTCTTTAACTCCCAGGGTTTAGGGTTTAGGGTTGGACCCTCCGGTCGCACCCACCCCAGTCCCACCGAAACGAAACGAAGGCACGACTGGAGCCCAGGGTGCCCATCTCTTCAACACACCACCCATCTCACAGCGACGTGTATTCCACCGTCCCGACTCCCACGCCGACTCCGTCCACTCCCACTCGTGGGACGGCGGGGTGTCTTGGAGGAGTTGCCCACCACCGTTGCGTGTGGGGAATTGCCCATCCAAACAATCCATTATGGACGTTTTTTGCAGGACTCTGGACCCGAACCCCCCCAAAAAAGGAACGAACCAAACGAACCAAACCTTGCGACCGGACCTGCAAGACAAGAACGAACCCCCCCTCCCCAAAGAACGACCGTTCCATTGGAGAAGAGGGCCCCGAGGGCCCCGATTCCAGGTACGAGTACTTCTCGAGTCAGAAAGACCTGGGCATCCGATGGAGTCAGAGGTTGGAACCGGCAAGCTGGGCCAGGTCACCCACGTTGCAGCTCCCGCTGCCGTGCCCAGGTGGGGCGCAACAAGTCCTGGCCAGGAGCTACGCCGCGCGCGCGCGCCGTGTTCGGCATTTTTGTGGAACATTCTTTAAGACACTTATTTTATAGCATGCGTGTTTCTGGGACATCCTTGCAGGACACGTTTGCGGCACACTTTGCAAAAATCTTTTGTCGGAGACTCTTATGGAACAGTTTTGTGGGACACTCTTGCCCGACACAAAGTGAAACTACTTTTTGTTGTGTGTTGTTTCTTCAAAGTTCTAAAGATTTTAAAGATTCTAACTATGGTTCACTCACACTCGGATTATCCGCTGCTCGAACAAGCTTGTTTGCCCTTGAAGAGGGCATGAGTTCGCTCGCACGTGCAGTTCCTCTTCCGATTTGAACCGGAGGGGAGTCTGCTAATGTATCCCTTTCAATCCGATAGTGGCAAGCAATATCCAGTCACCAAACAGCAATGTCACTGATGGTAGGATCAAAGGTCAAACAGGTCTATGGGGGTACTACTACACTGCACTCGTAAACACTGCTAGGCCATCCATGTTGATAGGTTTGTTATTGAAAGTTCTCCCGGCAAGAGGCCCCCAGCCTTAACCCTTATGTCAGAACCCCCAGTGTGACCACACTGATCGGGGAAAAAGTTGTTTGCCCCAGCCTCCCCACTCAAACCCAATCCGTTCAGCTTCGTCCTCGCCCGAAAGGTAGGAGATGAGCACCTCATCGCCTCCACAGAGCAAAAATCGCTGCGTGACTGACGGACTTGAGGGGATGCAAACCCACAAGAGAAGAGCTTGACATACCCTGCGACACACAAATATAGAAGTGGATAGCATGGTGGAATCGGAATTCTATTTTCCTCTACCAAGTGGGGGTTGTCCACTTCCATGATTGTTGGGGGGAGTGTATCTTACCTCTTGATGTTGGAACTTCAACCCGGCCTTGCGAGTGCACCTGGCCTTCAGTGGATGCAGAAAAAGCCTTGGACAAGGGAGGTGCATCTGTAATTACAGGTGACGCAGGAAGATACACACTCCGATGTGAAAAAAACCAAACGAGATCGCACATTATATCCCAAACACACCGTATTCCATGTATGGTATATATTCCTATTCGTATACCTATTGGGATGGCTTGAGGGGCTACATATAGGCATATATATGACAAACACGGAGTGTCTGGCTATGGTTCCTTCCCCAAGAAATTGCCAAGTAATTAGATTTCTCCACAGAACAACTCCTTCAGTTCTAAGACACCGAGTTCGTAGCCGAGGCACTCTGTTAAAGGTTTTCCACAAACAACGCTCCAAACATCCTTCTTTCAGTGCCTCACTCAACCCCCCACGACCTCCCGCGATGCTCGCTCAACCCCCCACGATGCTCCGGTTGAACGAAAAAAGGCGTTTCCACACGCGCGCGCGCCTGGCTTCAAGGAAGTCGAGGCCACCAAACGGATGATGCCCGACTCCTCTAGGGTCGGCGTTTGTTCTTCGGAGCTTCAAGGAGTTACGGCTCAAAGGGATTCGTCCGAAAGCCTTCCATGGTTCCACCAGGTAGATCGAACACCAGGTAGATCGAACAGGTGTCCATTGGACGCCCCTTAAGCTAAAAACCATTGGACACCCCTTACAAATCTAAAAGTCATTCTCAAAACAATGCTGGAGACATAGGTTGAGGTTGTCACAAGTGGCCTCAAAGCCTCCAAAAAGGCTTTTGCCGACGACGTTTCGCCTGTGAAAACGTGTGAAAACGTGTTTGTTGAATTGGCATCTGTGCTGCCGCGCGAGTATTCGTGCCAGAGCATCGGCGCCCATCGGCTGATGGAAACCTCAAACCATTTTGGTAAGGACTAGCAAACACACTCAGGCAATTGGCGATATGTGCCAACACATACCAAAAAGTTGTTTGAATTGAGTTGGAAAAGACCGGTCTTCCATTGACTAAAGGATAAACATGTATTTTCCAGATAAAGAATACAACAAGAACGATAGAGTCAACAAAATCCACGGTTAAGAACTATTCAATGATTGCATTACCAAACAAAGGAAAATATGGCTTTGGTTGGCTGAATTTGGTTTATTTTTTCACCTTCTGAATTTCAACTTAATTTGACCTTTTGATCGTCCTTGTTTCTGAAGAATTCAAAGACCTTACCTTCGAAAAGGTGCGGGGGGTGAGACAAGGGGCGCTTCAGCCAAACAATAATTCAACCAAAAACTTTACTCTCTTTTGGATGTGTCTGCTGAACTTCCGTGGTAGGCAGTGCTTAGCATTGAAGAAATGAGAGGAGACTGGTGTCTGAGCAAGCATCGAAGCCAAGAAGCGAAGGACAAATAAGCAGGACAGGAATTCAGACAACTTAGTTTCGGCAAGGTGCAGTGAGGGCTGTGGGGGTGTTTTCGGGGTTTAAAAAGAACTGGAGGGGGGATTGGGGAGAGGGCGCAGCGCCTTCCCCCGAAAAATGAGCAATAGTCGTGTGGCAGAACAAACAGATAAGCACTGCAAAGAAATGGAAGAATTCAAAAGGACTTATTCTCGGCAAGTCCACTTGCATTTGCGTGACGACCGAGATGAACTGTGCCAAAGCTCACAAACTCAGGCTCTCAGAACCCATGGCAGATCGACCAATCAGCTCTGATCCAATAGGGACGATCAATGACGAACCAGTCCAAGGACTTGTCTCTCTAGTGCATCATGCGCAAGGCATTAATCACCTCATATTGAACCAGGTCCATGCCAATGCTCGAGCGCAAACGTCCGACTTTCCGACCTCGCTTGAAGAAAAGTCGCCGCCAATGGGCATCAAGATCCGCTGCAGTGATTCCGGTTGGTCTTCAGGTTTGTAAGTCTTGGGGTTATAGGGAAGTCCATAGATGGACGGATGGAATTGCTTGTACTTCCGGACAAAGTATGACCTTCAGTCAACTTGTCCCAATCACGAACAAGAATGACGTCCTCGCCAGTGTGGTGTACGTGCACGTCTTCCTTCAACGTGGTGAAGGGAAACTCGACCGATGTCGTAGATGAGCCACAGATTGAGAGACAAGTTGCCCATTGACTTGATGTACCAAGTTCATTTCAATCAAGCATCCTCATCAGCTTGATGTTCATCCGCAGGTAGGTTCTCTTCGACATTCTCTCAGGTTGGCAACAACTCGGTCTAGAACACAACACCACTTTATATGAAAACTACCAAAGGATGTCCAACATGCAACGGTTGACCTCAACGTTCCCAGACGTGGTTGACCTCCCGGAACGTCAGGATCACCTCCGACCGTGCTCTTCGCGTGACGAGGTCAGGCCTTCACTGGTGACAGTGGGCCTTCTCTGCGGTGGAGTTGGGGCTGCGCCGATGTATCGGTCTGAAACCCCCAAAACATAGAACCAGGGGTCACAAGACGGGGTGGTGTGGCTCGTCCCATCCAGGGGCCGTGGATGTGATGTTCGGGCCACCCCGACTCGCTCGATAGCACCCCGTCGAACGTGACTGCTGGAACATTCCAATCTATACCCAGACCCGACTAATGGGACTGCCATATATGCCGCCCCATTGACTCCCATGGCACCACCCCTGGCCAAAACTGAAGGCACTCCGACAAGGCATTCCCAGGTCCGGGTCGTGTCTGGGTATAGCACATGCATGAAAGACCCAAAGCTGATTAAGCACATCTTCACCTCCCCGTCCCCGTCCTCAGGGCAGAGTGTGGCATTCGGTCGGCACGAGTGGTTCCTTGGCTCCGACCGACCAGTGAGGCTCCGACCGAGCTTCAAGGTGCTCATCAGGTGCTTCAAGGGATGTAGGATCGAATAGGTGCTTCTGTGGATGAGGGATGTACATGAGGGATGTTTTATGTAGTGGTTCAATGTTTTCGACAGCGAAAGGTGGGGATTCAACAAGGGGGCTGGGTCCTAACTTCAAGAAGTCCAGCTGTTTTGAGGAGATTCCTCTGAGAGGGCATGGATTCCTGGTTCATCCATCTCTTTTGGATCTTCCTGGCATCATATTCCCACCCAGGCGGATGGACGCGTCATCCAAGTCAAGATGAAGCGACATGGGTTTGCCAGTTGGATCATGTCACAAACAAAGGGCTGGGACCGGTTTGGAGAGGTGTTGACCCACTCCAAACCCTGATGGACCAAGAGACCCTCCAAAGAGGGACCAACACCTCCATTCTGGGCTGATGGACCCTCCATGAGAGACTCCGCCGCATACTCCGCGTGTATGTCTTGTTCGCACATCCGCCGCATAGATCATCGTTGATACTCCCTAGGGCTCCAAGGACCTTCTTAGAAGGTGGTCCAAATGGGTCCAAATACCTTCTAAGGAGGTCCTTGGACCCTAGGGACTCACTCTTCATGGCCTTCTTCGACCCATACCTCCACGGCGGTGTCCTTCTCCACCCAAAGCGATACCTCTTGACACCCCTGCGAGACAGCGAGAAGACGACTCCGAGTGGGTAGGTCTAGAAGACGACTGTCACCCACGCTGTGGCCCAGAATGGGTGCTGGACTTGGTAACTAGAGGATGATACATGTGTAAACGCGCCTCTGCGCAATTGGGAGCTTGGCTGGATCCTGTTCGGTAGGCCGTCCGAGTCCGAAACCACCGACGCCAATCGAGTACGACCCACATGGGCGGTCAACCCATGGTGGTTTGGTCCAGATTCACCCACCCAGCCAGGCTTACGCAACGGATGCGCCCCAAACTCAAAGAGGCGCCCTAACTGCTTTATATAGATGGACGCTGCGGGCTGATGGGCCGGAGCGCTACCTCTCGCCCGCCCCGTCGATTCAGACGGGAAAACGGTCAAACAGGACTTTCCGACCATGCCAGGGGTGTTCAGTTCATGGCGTTCACCTTCCCAGAATTGGATCTTCGGTTCATGGAGAACCTAAGATCCACCCGTCCGTCTCCGCATGGAGGACGGATCCACCCGTCTGTCCACCCGTGCCCGAGCAAAGCGGCGCGCGCGAGATGAGATCACACACCTCAGAGAGACGGTCGACGACCGGTCGACCGGTCGAAGCGGTCGAAGCGCTTGGCTTCGTTGTTTCTTTGGCCCCAAGAATCGTCTGAGTGGTAAACATGAGGTTTGGCCTTACTGCTGTATAAAGCATAAAGGTTAGGGGGGCCAAAAGGTTACTGGATTACAAGTGTTGGAAAAATGAAGCTCCTGTTGTCATCATTCCTTCCATATTGGCTCTCCGGGATTGCAATCCAACATCTATGAAACACCTGGATCTGCTGTGGTCAACCTCCTCCTTTCTGCTTATTTCTGCTTGTCATACACCTCTTTGGTGCTGTATTCTTGGTCTACAGTATCTGGATCTATTCACCCAAACTCACACCTCCTCCAAGTAGTTCAGAGTGGAAAGAGTGGCCCTTCGATGCTGTCTGGTGGTCCAGCTGCCTGGTGGTGCCTGATCTCTCTCATTCTCGTGGCCCCAAGATAGACAGAGGTGATCCGTGCGGGTGTTTCGGTGTTCCCCCTTCCTGCGGTCCAAGTGTTCACCATTGGTTGTCCTTCTATAGCTGAACAATGATCCAAGTACAGCCCCGAGAACGCTTGTTGAAAAACATATCAATAATCAAGCGACGCATGTTTCAGTACGAGTTATTAAGTTCAATAAATAAGGCTGAATATTATTGGTGTTGTAGCCTGAGGGTCTGGGAAGGTGTCCCACTTATCCTTCAGATTGCAGAATCAGCTCAGCTTCACGGATGTGATCCTATTGGAGCCTTCCATGCCCAACTCTTGCCCAGCTCGGCCTCTTGGCTTGGTGTACCTTCGATCTCACCTCTGATTGTCCAATCCATAGTCGGTGTTGGCAACACTGTTTGGCTCGCCATTCACCCATGTCTCAAGACATGTAGCCGTACGTCCTACTGACCACCCAGCTGTGGCCATGAACACCCCTGGAGATTCTTTGGGCTTTGGCTAGTACAAGGCACCGACGCACAGCAAACCGCATACAAAATCAGAAGCACAAAAGCTAGGCTTTGGTGACATAGCTGGATGTTAAAGTAGACCTTTGGTACCCTAGATCGTGAACCAAATCTTTGGTACGAGAGTCAACCAGATCTGTGGTACACTGGATCTTTGATAAACTACATGGGAAACTAGAGCTCTGTCAAAACTGCATCTCTTTACCATCTTGATCTCTGGTGCTAGATCTCTCTACAAGCCAGGGCTGTTCCATAGCAAGATTTCAGGACCTGGGCGGTCAAATCGAAGGAACCACGTGATTTGCTAAAGGGAATAGCACCAAACACAGAGCACAGCTGGGCACCATTAGGCAACAACACAAGGATCCCAAAAGTCGAAGGACAATCCAATACATCGATTGTCCAAGAAACAATGGATTGAACATCGATGGGATTCTGATCTTTTGGATGTGTTGGATTTTGATGCCTTAGACAGTTTGGGCTAGTACAAGGCGCCCAAGCAAAACAAAACCCCATACAAAGGCATCAGCAGCAAAGAGCAGCAAGATCCGACAAAAAAATGAGCCCCCCCAACAGTGCACTGCTACACCATCTCCTGTTCTGAAAAAACTAGGTAGTAGTGTCGCTGCCACACCATCTCCCGTTCTGAAAAAAACTAGGGAGTCCTTTGGGAATCGGCAAAGAAGGTGCACTTCTCCAAAGGTACCCAGAGACTAGGACAGAGATCACTGGAATGACTGGTACCCGCCGACGCTTCGCCCGTTGGGAAGCCCCTGCCGACGTGCCCTGTAAGGACTGGAGACCGTTTGCGCGCAACCTGAGGTTGCAGGGACGGTGAAGGCAGGCGAAGTGAAAAACGTGAGGTGTTTTACTACGTGTTTCTACCAGGGTTGTAGGATGTTGTAGGTGATGTTGTAGGTGACGATACCTTGAATTCATGGCTGATTCGACCGGATTCAACTTACATGGAGAGAGCTACATGGAAACATATTTTGATTCAAACAACACATCACGGGGAATGACCAATCCAGCTGGTCGGTATGAAGGGGCGTTGGGCGATGGGCCTGGGACGAAATGGTTGGAGAAAGAACACGGGGCAGCTGGGTCAGCTGACGGGACGCCCTTGGTGATCATGGATCATCGCCTCAGCTGCAAACGCCCTGCCAAAACAACTGACAAACAGTTTGCCATTGGAAGTCCTCATGTTCTACACTTAAACCAGCTTTAGGTGGGAATCGATGTTCGCTTTGGTGGGTATACCTCAAAAGCAATTGGTTCAAAGCTCACTCCGTTCCTTTTGCCACCTGACCATGTCTATAGTAGTCGGTTTGACCGTTCATTTTCCGTGATTGTCTCCGGTTTTGACCCGCAGCCACCTGTCCATGGATGAGGGAAAAACAAAGGAAAATGTTAAACACTGAGATCGCCGTCCCAATAGAATGTGGCTGGGCACATCCCAAAAACAACTGAAAGCTGAGTCATGTTTTTGGATTGGTTCCACTTCTGTCTACTTCAGGACTGCCAGGACTGGTTTTCTCCATACACGACATAACTCAAAACCAGGCTGATACGGAGGGGGCACCACAGCTGGACAACCTCTGGCTGACCATTCTGGGTGGCACCAGCCGGGTGCAGTCCCAGTGGCACCCGCAGCAACGCGCCCTCTTCACGAGACGCCGCTCCGCCGATCGCCTGCCGCGCCGAACGCGAGACGGGGCCGTTCGCGTTCGGCGGTGTTCTGCGAGCCGCATTCGGAGGGATCGGAGGGTTCGATGAATCGCATCGTCCCAGTATGGAAGGCTTTGAACAGACCAAAAGAAACCCAACTGAAATATCTCTATCAAATACTTTGAACCCATCTGAAACTTTTTGAACAGATTGGTTGAATCAAAGGTCAATCAAACCGAGTTCAAATGGCACAAACGCCCACTGAGGTGGTGAACACATGGAGTGTTGAGGCGTCGGTACTATTTATGCTCTGAAGTCTATGGCAAGCAACAGGGGGTGTTGCTGGGGAAACCCCAGTTCTTGTCTCAACCAATCTCCTGCAAAGCTACGCATATGTTGTCCTGCCCAAGATCTTCTCAGCTCAAAAAAAGAAAACACGACACAAACGGTCTGTGTCCACCTACGTAAGTGTGCTGGTCAAACTTTAAACCAAGCTGTTTAAGACTCTTGTCATCGTTGGCAATGAGAGTCATCGATGTTGGCTGGGCACCTTGTTTGCCAGCAAAACAGGAATCAAACATGCGCCAAATCTTATCTGTGCCAAAACACATGTGGGAGTCATCATCACCGCACAATTCTCCCTCTACATGGGACCATTTATAAGCCGGTCATTTGAGGCCGGTTTGACGGTCAATTTAAGTTAAGAATTCAATATTTCAATACTCTATGTTATACCAGTGGATCCAGCACGTTTGCACCAACTTCTCAAGAAAGGTCAACTGCGGTGACCTTGCAATTGTTGTTGGACTGGAATTCCGGTGCCTGAGTTTTCAAAAAAAAACTAGAGCCGCTGGCTCACCAAAAAACAGAAGCAAACTGAACCTGATTGATCCTGATTGGTTTGAGCGGCCCACTTCCCTTGCACTTCAGAACTTCAGAGTGGTCTCCTGCCCGTTGTGAGACGCTTGCGCCAGCTTCAGCATCCTGGCAGAAATCCCACTTGAAGCACACCGGAGGACAGGTAGGACAATATGGAAAGAATCATATCCCGGTGTCAGGGGCCACCTATGAAGGAGCAAGTTGAGCTTGGGGGTCGTTCTTCAGATGGTTAGTTGGTCCATCAAACAGGACCCACCTGCAATGTTGTCACTCAGTCCACATGCTAGAGGTTGCTTCCTTTCATGTTGTTTCTATAAAACCTTTCAGACAAACTGCCCAAGGTACCTCTGCCATTGGACACTCATCCGATTGGTCGGTTTCTTTGCGGAAAGCCATTGCTCACGACTCACTCCATCAGCCCAGCGCGAACAAGAATCATCGTTTTACATGTTTGCTCAAGCAAAAGAGCAAAAGAGACCAAGCCCCCTTACATCAAGCCTTGATGTTCTTGAATTTGTCTTCTTCATCCTCTTTACTGCTTCGGGTGGCCACACATATCATAAATAAGGTCAGACCCGCTTTCATGGAGCCTCAACCTGGTGACCCAGCCAACTTTGAAAAACATAGACCACCTTAAAATATATCAAAAACCATCAAATACAAAAAAGTATTCGATATCTCATGTCAAAGGTGGGAGAACTCTTCCCAAAAAGGCCTGTGTTCTTTCAGGCAAAACTTCTTCGTTTTCCGCCTACCGCACGCCGCGCGTACCTGGCGCGTGCCGCAGGCGGCATCCGCTGGAGCTTCAGGAGCGTCCTGGAGCTGCGTCGTGGAGCCGGTGGGTTCGTCAGAGTTGGGTGCTTCACAGAGTTGTAACCGCTTCATATGTATGCTTGCTTCATATACCGGATTGATTTCTGTTAGCAGGTTAACAGGGCGTGAGCAGAGTTCGGATGATTTGTCTTCTTCGCATTTCTTCCATTGCCGCCTTGCTAAACGAAAAATAATCGGACAAGGGTAGGGCCGGGTAGGGCGTGGGACGGGATTTTATTGCTGTGGGGCCTGCTTCCAAGGGGTCTGGACTACGATACTTGTCGCCATTGGAAACGTCTTGAAACCGCTGGTGTATACTGTTGAGGGAAGAGTTCTTCTAAAAGCCCCACCTTCATTAGCGATGTCACTGGGCAATTTGTCAGCCTTGGCTGTGGCACTTGGCTTTGCGGCCTTGCTAATTCACAAACCAGGCTCAACATGATTGCTATAGGCAGAACCCAAACATCTTGAGCATGACCTTGTTGCACTTCTTGGTCAAATGATCTCAAATGCATCAAAAGGACACGTGTTCTTTTAAGTGTCTTGTGACACGAATTCAGGTGCTGCTTGCATGTTTTGTAGGCGGCACAACTCTAGGGCAAGACTCTCCAGAAAAAAAGATAGGAAACACATAAAATAACATAAGAAACAAACATGTCATGGTCTTCCATCCTGCTTACTTGATAACGACAGGAAGGTGCCACATTGTCAGAGTGCCACGCATAGCGAGTTGTCCCTGCCGTTCATTCGAGATGTCTTTTGCAGCGAGTTCGAAAGGCCCTGCAAGGAGTTGACCAGGTTGACCACTTGGCGCTCTGCGGCTTCTTGAAGAAATAACACGTTCATACATACATGACATGTTCAATGATTATTGCTCACAAACTTCCGGCATTCGACCAGCCAATGTTCAAACATTGAGAGGGCCTACTGCACGCTCACGCCTTGATTTCTAGGGCAGGTTTGCGCCTCCCGACATCACACTGTACGATCATCGCGTCATATCTGCAACTGCCTCCCCTGTGAGCATTGCCAAGAACGGACTTAAAGAGCTCAGCAACGGCGGTCTTGGCATGCCTTGGCTGGATTCGTTGCTTGCCACCGGCAGTTGGCTCCGGAAGCTTTCCAGGAATTTCTAAAGCTGCAGTCTCTTGGGCCGGCAAGTTCCCTCACAAGGGATCTTGGCCGACTGATTCCAGCAGAGAGCCACAAACGCTTTGCACTTCTTGCAGAACAGTTGCTTCCCACGCCCCAAACCAGCCGACTGCGTCACCCCACGCGGAATTGGGCAGGGCAGCCTAGCGAAATCCGTCCGAACCCCGTCACCGCCGATGTCTAAAAAGTTGCTTCTTTGCGTTTGCTGCGACATGCCCAAACCTAACTAGCCAACTAACCTACTAACCTGCTAGCCAACTATAGTAAACCTGCTAACCAACTGACCCCCCAAACCTGCGACATGCCAGAGAACCTACACCACCAACCCACCCCCAGCCCCAAACCACTGCTTTCACCCGACACAACCGAACCGACGCCGCCCGGTCTCCGGCGTGTGGACCAGCCCTCCGGCTTCACGAAGAGCGGCGTCTCCGCGAGGATCAAGCCGCCTGGCGTCGAAGCGGACTGGAGTCCCAGCGCCTCCACCCTTCGTCCCAGCGGTGAGTCGCTGGACTGGAGTCTTGGACTGGAGGTCTGCTGCGGATTGGGACTCCTTTTTTGGGGTTTTTGAGCTTCGATGTTGAAAAAGAACCAGCTTGGGATATGATGGGATGTAGGGATAAGTTTTTCTCCACCATTTGGTGTTGGTTTCTATTGCAAAAACCCCGGAAACGACCTCTTCTTAGTGAAGAGAGCCCGTTGTCACCCATTGCCCATTGCTCACAGATTTTGGATTGCTTCGCCGGTCAAAGATCTTCATGTTTTCTTGTTTGAGGCTCCAAAACATTCAAAGGAAATCCGGCAATCCAGCAGGGTCCAGCAATGGAACCAACAAACGCCTCATCTTCACACAAAAATACTCCGCCAGCTGGGTCCGTTTGGCAGCAATTCGGAATTCAACTTGAAGGAACATAAATTTTGGACACTGCACCCCTCACGTTCTTACGAAAGGTCTCCACAGTGATCTCCCAGAAATCCCAACGTTCACTGAGTCGGTGTTCACTCGATCTAACATGATTCAACCAACGATTCGGCGCAGCGACCCAAAGGAGAGCCCCAAACAGAGCAGGGATCCTTTCAGTTGCGCTTTTAGATGGCGAGAATATGATGCGCGACTCCCACGACTGGATGTTATAAACCCCAAAAACATGTGTTCGATCCCTTTCGTGAGAGGTCAAACCAAAGATGTCCTGCAGAAACATGACATGGAAGTGTCATGTTCATGTTCATGACATGGAAAATTCCCTCACTTCGTCCAGTTTTGGGAGGGGAGGGGAACATCCACACCGCTCACACCGGACGCCCACGCCGGACGCCATGCCGCTCATAGGTCGAAGTCCGAGTGTCCCGCGAGCGACCGAGCCAAGCGGTACAAGTCGAGTAGACCAACATCGGTTGATGATGTACCAGTGGGTCTGCTTGACTTG